TTTATTTATTTATTTATTTATTTATTTATTTATTTATTTATTTATTTATTTATTTATTTATTTATTTATTTATTTATTTATTTATTTATTTATTTATTTATTTATTTATTTATTTATTTATTTATTTATTTATTTATTTATTTATTTATTTATTTATTTATTTATTTATAGTGAAAGGAAAACAACACTATATATTATATTTGCTATGAAAACTGTGTACCACCAATCTGAAAGCGCGAATGATCCCGACCAATAAAAATAATTTTGATTTTGTCGTCAAATAAACAAATAAAATGTTAAGGGATGAAACCTCATCATGAATCATAACGTGATCAAAAAAACAACATCAATGACGGCAGCGGATATTGGCGGTAAAATCCAATCAGACGACAATAGGGGAGACAAAGACCGGCTATCATCGGTTTGAGCTGTCTGTGTTTGATAAGTAATCGCTGGTGTCACACCACTGAACTAACTTTGACTGTAAAACCGTGTGTTTCACCAAGAGCACTCACTATTATGAGCAATCGGAGCGTGACAGCTTTGTGAGTGAATAATACAAATTTGGTGCATCACAATATGTTAGTATGATTACACCGTTATTAGTGTGTATCATTAATAAAAAAGTAATATTAAAATGATGTGCCATATTGCGCACGAAAATAACAACAATTTGTATTCATGTTCATTTCAATAACCGATAATGCCACGGAAAGCGCGCCGAGCACATTTGTATACATGACAATCTGATAATATAATATAATATAATATAATATAATATAATATAATATAATATAATATAATATAATATAATATAATATAATATAATATAATATAATATAATATAATATAATATAATATAATATAATATAATATAATATAATATAATATAATATAATATAATATAATATAATATAATATAATATAATATAATATAATATAATATAATATAATATAATATAATTAAACACGTATTCACATATTTGGCGATAACTCGCAAATCTGCTGTGAATAATACTTATAATGTACAAAATCGCTTGAGAAGATAAAAAAATGTCGAAATGCACTGTCTTCATCCGCGATCACAGAAACGACCATGTCTGTTCCAGGATTGTCCTCTCAGCAGGGGGCAATGAGTGCACGTTATACAGTGCAGTCTAGGAGGGGTCTAGTCCCGCGTTGGTAATTTGTACTTCGTCAATAATTTTTTGTTCGATGACAAAGACCGATATCGTTTCTCTCCTTTCATAATGATACTAAACCTTCATTGGTTTGATACACATCTGTGTGCGGACGGTAATATGAAATATGGCAATTTATATTCTTATCTGTTTCTGAGTAGAGAACGGGGCAACGTTTTACCTCAACAGATCCGGATAATAAAATACAATGAAGGGAGAACTCAGTGTTTCCAGGACGCTGATTTTAGATTAGCATCGACGCACAGTTCTGCTTTGTCCCTGGGTGTTATTGCGGTATACCTATTTCCCTGCCTATATATCAAACAGTAGTGTCCACGGTCTGATAGTACGCCAGAACGAAGAGCGCCCTCAGCCGACGGCGGGTTCGCGCCATGTGAATTACTCTTGCCGTGGATTCTCAACGACGCAGTCATTGGCAATATAGCTAATTATGTCTCCGTAGTGTCAGCTCGAGAGCTGAAACATTTTTTTCTTATTTTTTCAGCTGTAAACCGTGGTTTTAGCTGTAAGCCATAAGTGCTGTGTCGTGGTCGATGAACGGAACACAATCACTGGCTTAGTACTACCAAAAGCGCCTCACTCGAAAATGTTAATTGCAACGACCCTGGAAACAAGATAACGCATTGTCGTTGAGATGTGTCTTTGGTGGTGAAACAGTCCCGGAAGCTTAAAGGGTAAAAAACAAAAGAGTTACGTTTAAAAACTAACCTGGAAAGTATGGATTCCTCGATAAAGGTTGTACAGGTGAATCATAAAACGGCCTCGGTAAGCTGACAAGTGGTTTTCCCGCCGAATACGTAGAAAAGGCACTCGTGTTAGCACCTATTTACAATAAGATAAAATAAGACATTTTTGAATTACGAGTGTTTTTTATTATTATTTGAGCAAGCAGTATTTCGCCTAATTTGCGTGTTGATGGGCCGTGACCGTGCCAATGGTTGAGCTGAAGTTATTATTGTCAACATATGAAGCAAACAAATCGTAGTTGCAAATCAAAGGTTCCACAAACGGTACGTGCGGCAAGGTTGGTTTTAGGGAATGACGAGAAAGTCGGGCGACCGTGAATTACAACTTGGCGCATTACAACATCCTCTCCATCTCTTCTACTAATCCATGTTTTAATTGAGTATTATTAAACGACGAATCACTAATTCGACACTACGTTGCCGACACCGCGACAAGCTGCGTCACATGGCGGAGTCGGGCTCCGACCAATGCAAATGACACAACAACGTATGTCGCCAAATCATGAATACAAACCTAATAAAAAAAAAAGTAATAAGATTTTTTTTTTAATTTTCACTTGATAGCATCGAAGAGAGAAACGTAAATAGTCGTATCCGATTTACAGTTACAAAAACATTATTTTTTTCGTCTATCAAACTAATAAGTAAAAGTTCGTAAAGTATCATCATCGCAGCAAACACAACATTAAGATGAATGTTACATTTATGGCATATACATATTCCATGCAATGTGAATTACACTGACTATGCATAGCCTTATTATCGTATTTGCTAAACAATTACGGAAGCATTACATTTATTGCATCCGTGTAAAATATTATAAAAGCAACAACAAATGAAATGAAAGTGACATAAATGGAATGGACACTATGTTTGTGTAAGTTACCTGTTGATGTGGTGGCTGAAGACAGAATTGCATTAACGCCAAATTTCAGATACGTTCCAGAGGTCTCCGACGCTGCAGTGGTAACTGCCGCAGAAGAGCTACACGTTCGACAGTCTGAATGCATGCATAGCGTAGATACCGTTGTGGCAGTCTGTGTAGTGGGGATTGGTCTCGCGATGCAGCACGCCGGAGCACTGTTCCGGAGTAAATTTTCCACGTAGAAAGAAGTGCTAGCGGCCGGAGCCGGCTGAGGTACTGTCGGTGGCCGAAATACATTCTGGTATACTGGGGATGGAGCGAGTACGTTGTGAAACATTGTGAACACCAACAGAGTTTGCTTTATTCCAAGGCCGTTCAGCGGAAAAGCAGGCCTCCACTGGACGTCGGTGAATGTAGTCAGAGCATGCACAAAAGCACATACAATTTTCCGGATTTCGCACTACGATCAGCAACGACAACAGTTTACGGCGTGTTATGGTCACTCGATGTGTGAGAGTTGTGTTGTATACTGGTTATAACAGTGCTATCCATTTACAGGTGCCTTTCAAGCGTCAAAGTGAGTGACACTCGAAAGTGGGCGGGGATTGGTCCATCGCTTCGGCGGTAGCCATACTTGCCAACGCGTTTTAATGAAAAAGGGCGGGCGCAATTTTTCTTCTTAATGAATGGACTCGTGTGCGGCTTCATTGTCGCTCTAGAAGAACGCCCCCTCCGAGGGAATCATTGAAATACTTCCACGACCCATGAAAAGCCACTTGATTAGATTACGAAGAGCCAATCTTGGCAAATGGGAAATCAAGTTTCCAGGGCACCAATAAAATTCAATATATAAATACAGTTTTGGAATCGCGTGCTTGTTGGTCTGTGACGTATGTATTATGATATCCCTTTTAATAATTTCAATGAAAAAAAATTGATGAATGAATTATTAAATAAATAAATACATCGTAACCATAGTCATGTTATCGAGCATGTTTCCGCCGCGTTTCAGTCAACAGTATATATGATGATTCGGTGCTTTCAAGACTTTATTTAATTAGATAACAACATTGGTTTAAATCGAAGCGAAACGTCCATAAAACAAGCGCTTTTTGCTATATTAGCAATTTGGAGTATGTAGGTAGCCAAAAAATGCCATCCCCGATATAGACTTTTAATTCCATAAAACTGAAAGATGTTTAATCCGGGGCTGGGCACCGCCAGCGGCCATTGCAACTGAACGTGAACGACTATACTGCCATGACGGCAGCGCGTTGGAAATGGCTTTGAGCAGAATACCACAAAATGCAATATATATAGTGTATGAATATTTTAAACGGTGTTATTATTATTTTCTGTTGTTGTCACTTTGAATCTTGGCATGTCCGAGTGTAACCACCGACAATAGAACCCTAATTAACAGTCGTAAAATCCTACTACTACCGAATTGGGGATTCGGTTTTTGACTGGAGGTGAATTCGACTTCTAATTTGAAGAGGAATCAGATAATAATGCAAACTGGCATTTTACCCCTGTTCACGGTTTGTCGCTTCATTTCAAAATCGTGTCTGGTGCATATTTCACTTATATATGAAAAAACAGACAATTCTAACAGAACTTGGGAAATGAAGAAAGCTTGCCGATACAAGTAGGGACCTCGCGAGGACACCAAATGTAGGTACTTTCGTGGCGGTAACTATGGTAACACTCAAGGTAAACCACATGGTAGCCATGACGCTGGAAGTTGTAAATTATTCGGTATATTTTACGAGCTTCGAAACATTCTGAATGTTCGAACTGTTCAATACCTCCAAAACGACTTCACAGGTTATCGTTTTTTTTTTCTGTGAAATTTTTCGCGAATGATTCTCGAGCGGTACATGTAGTGGAGATATCCATATTTCGTTACTGTAGTTCCACGCTACTGCCAGCGTGAAGAATCAGAGGGAAATGCTTAAATGGCAGCAGTCGTCGTGCCGCGTCCTGTTCGATATGGGACTCATAGCGACGTATACAACGCGTGTAAAATACATTGTTTATTTACATGAAATTCGAACACGCGCTGCGCGACGACTACCGCGCTTTAATCGTATTTGATTAAATCATTATAAATCATTTATACATGAAATATTAAATCGAGTGAAGAACACCCTCATTACTTCTGTTATTGGTACCCGTGGTGCATCACTGTGAATATGCAAATTATCACAGTGACGTCATAAACCGAATGAGCAACATGAATACAGTAGAGGGGCCTTAGTATAACTGATGTAGCTAAACGTTGAGTTTCGAAAAGTGTTGGAAAGAGCAGCCTCGACAAGGATAAATTTGCAAAGTTCAGGCGATTCAAGGGATGCCCATCACTCAGACAGAATCAATGGCCGCGTTTTTGTCGGAATTGACATCTTGAAACAATGAAAGTCCCGAGATTGTTTAATGAAATGTAATGTTTTCTGATTGGGCGAATGTTACAATCGCAACTGATTATTCGTAGGTTTAGATAAGGATATTGCATCGTTCGGACACTCGTACAGCACAATGTTGTCCCGGTGGCGGAGCCAGCATACACAGTTTAGTAAATATGATGTCCACGCGACGTATTAGGGGAAAAGAAAATGTAAATTCCAATAAAATACACAATCATGACAATAACTATATAGTCCGTGCAGCTAAGTACCACGCGTACGCATCGGAGCTTTGTTCGTTTGCAACTTGAAATCGCTATTGGCCCTGTGACCGTCGCCCGGAACAGGCATTATGAGGTTACTTGAATAAAATAATGTAAACCACAAAACTACCACGTTTGTTAGTCATCGTATCTGGTGAGACTAAAGCGACACTGTTACGAAGCATAAACTTAATAAACCCTTATATTAGTACACAAAACGCCAAGTTTAGGAAATAGTATCGTGTATTTCTTCCTCGACAGAATGTTGAAATTCTAAAAACAGGTAAGCAGGTGTAAGGTGCCGGTAGCCCGCATCACCGGGTTATGTCACACGCCGTATAATGTACGTTCATATTAGTACCCTGAGGAATTATTCTAGTGGTCATAGTATCCGTACGACCATGAAACTGCAATACACCGTGACAGTGCTGCTGTTGTATTGTTTTTCAAGTGCAACAAATTTTCGGAAACACACTTTATACTTAATATATCTTTTCGCTTATGCTGTGATGAGCTGAAATTAGAAAATATACCCTGTACCGTAGGCTCGGAATTCGAAGTCACGACATGGCGCAGACTGGCGCGAATCCGTTATTCCTAAAATCTCCGTAATTTACTGTTTTATACACAAAGAATTTGTAAAATGAGAATCATCCGATTTTACATACTCGAGAATCTTTACGCTACTCAATACCTGAAAGACATGGTTCAGTGACTCGCCGTTTCCCAATGTTTCGCAGAGGAATGAGCAGTGTATCGATGCAGCCACATAGTACACGGCCCTACATCGACTATATGCTTCGTAATGATTTATGTTGACAAGCAGTTCAGATAAATTTTGTAGTTGAGTGACATTTATACAGGATAATTACTCATTCTCCGTACATATTTTGTTAGCTAAGCTTGGCCATTTTGTGTTCCTATAATTGTTACTAAGAAATTCTGAGGAAATTATCGGTCTTATGATTCCCATGACCTCCCATGACAATATGGACGACCAGATGAGAGGTACCTGCTCAGTGAAGCGTGAGGCAAAATGTTGAAGCTTCCTAATCGTGTCTTCGTGAGACAAAACATGGTTATTGTCTGTGCTTTGAAAGAAGTAGGTGCTCACAATAAAACGGAGCCTAGAGATCAGTGATGCCACGGATAGATGGCAAAGACTCGCAAGAAGGTGACACGCGGCGCGATTTGAGACAAAGCGGGCCGTGGGGTAACCTGGCCGGCAGCAGTTGGTATTAGTGTAAACGCCATATTAGGAACTTACTCATTCGACCTAGTCCGGGAAGTCCAAATTGGGACGCATGTTCCAACAATCTATACCTTACGATGTTATCTTGTACTCTCCGGAGCTTTGACGAAAAACACACTGAAAAAAAGACAGTTAAAAAGATGGCCCTTGATAATTTTGCATATATGATTGTTGCCTCTCGCCCCCGCTCCACCCGTCCGACGATTTCAACCAGTGACCACACAACCGTGATTCATTCTACACTGACTCTCCCATCTACGAATTCAAGCGCTCCGTTGAGATTTTTCCCGATCGAGTACTGTAAGTACGACTGATTATCGATATCCATTTACAGAAATGATTTATATTTTGTAAATCAAATTTGTCACAATCTTTACAGTGATGTCCTTATTATTGAGTCCTGTCACGTTGTGAACATTCATAAAAATATTCCAATTACGATATTTTTCAAATTATATTGTGTTTTGGATATCGCTTTGTGCGTATTTGAATAATTAATTTTATTGTTGTTTTTTGTCAACACAAGTACAAGTGATGATAGCGCACATTGTGCATTTTGCTCTGCTCCGTGTTTGAGACGACGTGGCGAGGCGAGACTGTATAACAATCTACCTATCATAATGGTAATCTAATGCCAGACCCGATGGGACTCAATCACCTAACTGGTCCCTAACGTCGCCTCGAATATCAAATCACGCTAAGCGTTCAGTGTGGAACGCGGGTTAGGGTGGGCTGCGTATTGTTGGGTGATCATGGCGGGGGCTGTGGATGGGGTCGGGGGTCAAACCCTTAACAAGGTATCTACCGGCCATGAGTTCAAAACAACAACTGTTATACCCTGAATTTGACTTGTTAAGTTTACATTATTTTGGTCACATGTTCCTTGGATAGGTTGGTTAAATGTTCTTATCTATTATACTCAACTATTATAACACCTACAACGAATATCATCTGTATGATTAATTGTCAAGATTATCAACATTTTTCGTATTCTTTATCAACTACACAAAGTCAAGTTCACTGAAAACCGAATAACGTTATCTGCCTTCTGGCCCACCCGTTTATGACCTGGCCTTATTTGACCTGACGGGATTTAATTTTATGCTCGAAAACATGAGTAGGATATTCTGTAAATTTATATATGTATACAATCTATTCATATATCAAGTCTGATTGTGCGGTAAATAGCCAGTTTTGTCGACTTTTGTGAAAACTGAAACCATATTTTAGGTTCTAATTTTGTGTAATACTAACTAATGTGTAGAAAAGTGTTTGGGATAGCCACTTTTTGGGGCCCCTTCCCTACTCTGAAACACCCAAACTGTTTAGTGTACCAAGATGACATAATGAGCGACACTTTTATTCTCAAAATCTCAGATAATTCATTTTCAGTTCCATTTGCTTTGAGATGAAGAGCCACGAACACCAGCCTGGTGTCAGTATTACGACATCGTACCATACCGGGAAAGCACATACATCTTTATAGCACTATGCTCTGTATCCATGGTTACAGAAACATAAACAGTGACCCCAGAGTAAAAAAAAAATGGTTTGAAGTTGTCAAAAGGTGCATGGGGGTCCTTT